CAATCGAATGGTAACAGAATACGCCTGAGTGCGCATCTAGACTATGATTGAAAATCGGCATTTGAATAGTAGCCCAATATCGGAACGATTTACCAAATCACGGACGCGATTTACATGTGCATATAGGCTAATTGGGGTGATTAAATTTTCACCGAATAACACACTAGAGGCAGGCGGTAGCGCAGCAGATGTACTATGAGATTTTCGTGGATTTGTTGTTAGGTTATGAATATGCAGAAGGTTAACAAAGATGCTCCGTTACGCTACGCGCCCAAATAGACTTCGAATCTAATTCATCATGACGAAATGTCTGCTCTGTTATGTATTTGATGCAAGAGGGCGGAGTTCCGCATACTTGGAGACTTCAACGATTAGAAATGCAATAAATTGCAAGTCCGATTGGCAACATCTTGCTTACGCGCCCAAGACAAACAACTTTGAGTTGTCACTCGTGGTGCTTGTCGCGAACGAAGGTCGCGGCATTGGCAGAAGTTCCGTCAGGCGCATCTCTATTTGGCAAATCTGACTGCGTCATGCACGTCAACGAACCTATACTTTCTTGGAGATGGCGGAGATAGAGGATAAAAACTGGAGAGTCCCAAATCGCCGTTCGGTTTTCATGTTTTATCTACAGGCGCTGGACATGAAACAGGTGGTGGCAAATATAACGAGATACCGCCCCATAGCAGAGGTACTTGTGTTTTATGCTGCCTATCGTATGAGGCGTGTAGTCTTTGCCCTAACCGTTATTCAAGCATTTGTTTGAATGCAAGTTTCTATTAGTTAGAATCGAATTCTGGATTTGCGCATGTTCTTGTTTCGGATAATATAGTTTGATACAGATGTAGCAGCATGTGAAAATCCCACCTATATGTACGTATACATCTATAGCGCATCTAGAGTACTTATGATATTTTATGGTTGTGCACGTCTAATCATTGTTCAAAACGTAAACTAACGGTTTAACTCGACTTTATAACAATCTTTGACAAAGAAGATTTTGAAGACATTATCAGAAGTGTTGACGATTTATAAATATACCTGGCTTCCACATGCTGTCTCAAGAATATGATGCGCGTTGACGGTTAACGACTCTGGGTGGTCTCATAATAGCGACACAAAATGCAAATCATTTTCATGTTGAAAAGTCATTTAATGCCGGTTTTTTAAACCTATAGTTCAGAGAATTGATGGTTTGCAAATGCAGAATATTTATTAATGTCGATCATCGTCCATCATATCCACAAACTGAAACAATATAAGCCTCAGCTTTATCGATCGAGTTTAAATTAACATTAAGTATAAATAGCATGCCTTAATAAAATGCCGAGTATTGCTCAACCCAGTGCAAACATGTGGTTGGATATATGTCCAGCAATAGTCTAGCATTGTGATTTGTATTGAGTAGTTAGCAGAGATGTGCCCCTTCAATTAGTAATACGACCTCGAATTGACTTTCTCCTTTGGAGGAAATGCCCCGAAATCTATCGTGGGATGGGAGATTTAGATAATTTAGTGTCAAATTATTCATTCCGACATTAAAATAAAGGCATATCAATAAAATGAACATAAGGTGGCACTTCTTTAAAGGACCTGGCTTTCGTAACATTAGCAAATATTTTGATATCAATATATCATATATCAATACCATATAAAGACTGTCAGCCGGAACCTAAGTCAGGGCAAGCTAGAATGTAACTAGTTGAAATAACATCCTGTGCATTTGGAAAGTACTTTGAAAATCAGGACACTTGACCGTGCATCAAGCAATGGAGTTGTTTTTACATTCGATGCGGTTTTCACAATTACAAATAGTATTTACCTTTAAGAATCTCCCGTGACACGTGAACGCGCATGATGCAGACATGTGCGTGAATGCTTTAACATTTGTTTCGTTCGATTACATGCACTTTTGAAGGTAACGGTGGGACGCAGATAGACGAATTAATGATACTAGACATAAATCATTGCAAATCTAACGAGATGCCGCCCCATAGCAGAGGTACTTATGTTTTATGCTGTTTATCCTCTCTCTGTCTGCGTCCTCGCTGCGCGCAACACTGTCCCGTGTGAAAGATCCTTTACCCAAAGATCTGCAAAGCAATGTCATCTACCGAATTCCGAGTGCTAAATGCTCTGGCAATTATGTTGGTCATGCGGGCCGATGACTTGGGACGCGTATAAACGAACATAAACTATCCATCCTCGGACGTGACCCTTTCCCACTCTCGTTCGCGCAAGCCCTTGAATTTGACCGTCGCTTCGTTTGGGAAGGAACTGAAATTATTGCCATGGCAAACACCAAACAGGCCCGAGAGTTCCTTGAAGCCTGGCACTTTAACACAACCAGCATCAATCGCCATGTCGATTTGAACGCTCATTACGAAGGTCTGCAAACTGGGCTCACTAACTTGCGCCAACGACCCAACTAGAATCGCTAATCCACACCGGGTCCTGTATAATCGGACTATTTCGCCACCCCTCCCCCTCTTCTCCCCCCTGGCCCAGACACAGCGAACCGCAACCGTAATCCTTAACACCTCTACGTTGGCGCACTGACTACTACCCGTATGCCGGATCGACGATCACTAAGACCACCGTCCGAAGTCACATTGAATCGTCATCTCCCCCCTACATTCTAACACAGGGAGCCGCAACAGTTCCCTCTTCCCCCCCCCACCCACCACAGACCCTAGACTAATTATGTCTCCATCCCCCCTTCATACATTATTTGCTTACGTATTAGTGGCTGCCCTGTCACGCCAACCAATTTGGTGTGGCCATTTCACTTTCTCCTCTGTTTATTTCGTCTGACGACGGGTTGAGGTCACCAGCTCGAAAAGTAACGAGTAAAACTCGATGTTTACCGACGAGCCTTCGATATTCTTCTTATTATCTCGGAATGCACACTACCTCAGCCATTCAATATATACAGTGCGTGACATATCTCATGAAATGTTGGCTAAAATTCTGAAAATGCTTTTTCGATTAGGGAGGATTAGATGTTCGTGATTGTGATACTGATTATCTTAAGGCATACTCATATAACATTTTGGACTCGGCAGGATGTTGGCTTTTTAATGCACTTCTTTTCAATCTCCTGTAGAAAGCGTTCTCGGTAAAAAATGACTTCTTATGTAGCATGCGTTTTTCCCATTGATTTTCGATGGTCTTGGAAAATCAAATATATTTTATAGAAACCATAAATAAAAATTTCCTTTCTTTTAGTCAACCAATAGAGAATCACGTCTTCTTTATGTTTTATACTTAAGTAAGGAGTATAATTAGGTTTTAAACAAGTTTTCTAATTGCCGAATTATTTGGAGCCTGCTCATTCGTTGCATTAGCGCTTAGTGAGTACACTTTACAAGGTGCATGCATTCCGCGTAAAGAAAGTTCCATATTTTTCTATGTCATTAAATGGATATCATATAAAGTCCATAACATGTTGCAATGGATGCGGACCATGTTGTACATTTCACGAGGAGCAGTGGTAAACGGCCAGGTACGATGCTATGTGAATGGACATTTCGCGGTCTTAAAAAGTCTCATAATTAGAAACTTATTTAAAACCTAATTATACTCCTTACTTAAGTATAAAACATAAAGAAGACGTGATTCTCTATTGGTTAACTAAAAGAAAGGAAATTTTTATTTATGGTTTCTATAAAATATATTTGATTTTCCAAGACCATCGAAAATCAATGGGAAAAACGCATGCTACATAAGAAGTCATTTTTTTCCGAGAACGCTTTCTACAGGAGATTGAAAAGAAGTGCATTAAAAAGCCAACATCCTGCCGAGTCCAAAATGTTATATGAGTATGCCTTAAGATAATCAGTATCACAATCACGAACAATCCTCCATAATCGAAAAAGCATTTTCAGAATTTTAGACAACATTTCATGAGACAGGTCACGTACTATATATATATATATGTAGGCAGAATGGCATTATCGGCAAAGACAAGGGAGACTGAAATGGTCATTTCTGGCTTATTAGCCGCCGTCAGCCAGCCATACCCAAGCCCGAAGTGTGGAACACCCGAGCCTCGAACTCGCGACCTGTTGGTTTAGAAGTTCACGCCTCTATCCACCGGGCCACGAACACGTTGTCCTGTCGCTTTTCGATCGGGAATATACAATGGTAGAGGGCGCTCGCCGATCGTTCATACGGGCTAATAAGCCAGAAATGGTCATTCCAATCTCCCTTGTCTTTGTCGGTAATACCATTCTGCCTATCTATCATGCGCCGCTGTGCGGCTGCTGGTTGGGCTCGAGAGAGAGCCCGTAAGGCACAACAGAACGAGTGAGTTCCGTATGAACGATGGATGATCGCCCCTTACCATTGTATATTCCCGATCGAAAACCGACAGGGCAACGGGCTCGTGGTCCGGTGGGTAGAGGCGTGGACTTCTAAACCAACAGGTCGCGAGTTCGAGGCTCGGGTGTTCCACACCCGAGGCCAACGAGCACGCCGACGCGGCGGCAACCACGTCAGGCGTGAGGGAGACACAAGGCACGCCAGTCCGCCAATGGCTGAGATCAGCGAGGCCACAATCAGCTAATGGAAAGCAGGCTAACCAACGTGCGTGCGCTGGGCAAGGTTATAACACGAGGCAGGCGGCAAGGCTGAACAAACCAAGGCCCGCAGGAAACGCCAGCGACCGACTCTGATGATGGAAACGAGTGTTTCCGAAACGTCAGTCTGAATACAACCTGGTCCATGAAATCGATTTCTCTTCTTCATCTTCCTCGGGGGATGATAAACACGGTAATATATCTGGACCTCGAATCTTCACGCATATTGCTATATGCTTTGGGCGCACATGCCTCCACTCGGCACGCAGATGGGAGACCTTTGCGAAGCGAGAGTCATCCACCTACGCTCAGCTGAAATTCCTGCACCGGTGCCTTGAACAGAACGTCTTACCCAAATGCCTCAGATACAGACTGCCTGTGAACACTGATCTATGTCAGCGGACGATGGGACACTTCAAAATGACGATGATCAGAGTACTGATACAAGACTGCCACTTTCGTATTCGCAAATATCGCCAGGTGATAGAACAACATTTGTCAACTTGCCAGTCGACTCTGACCGCTCCCGAGCTGGAAGCCTTGAGGGCGGCAATCCTCAATGGGGCACAGCGTCACCGAAAGCTGCGCGATGGTCAACTTTCGGAGAAATTCAGTAAATTAAGTCCGCCGAAACAGCCCTCCTCTGATGGAATCCTGATTCACAACCTATCCTCTCATCGTCTCACGCAACAACAGCTAGCGGTCCTATCCTATGACACTAAGTTCAGCACGAGAGATGCTCGACCAGAAGACTTCATCGCATCCTTCGAATCAGCGCTCCAGAAGTGCGAGGCAGATGAAGAACGCAAACACGCCATGCGGCAACAGGTGTCGTCTTTGCTTCTCCAGCACAAATCCCAAACGACGATTTCCGAAGCTGAAGAACGAGAACTTTTCAATATACGAAAAATTAAGAATATCGTCACCCTGCCTGCTGACAAGGGGCGCTCGACGGTCGTCATGGATTAGACCGAATACTCGACCAAACTGGAGAACTTGCTGATGGACACGGAATCTTATGCGCTTTCGGATGCCAGCGAGTTCAAAAAGCTTGTGAACAACATAAACAAGACGGTAGGGAGGTTAAAGAAAGCGAACACCCTCACGAGAAGAGAGGCACTGTCCGCGAAAGCCACTGACACCGCGATGGCACGCTTCTACGGCCTGCCCAAGGTACACAAGCCAGGAGTGCCCCTCCGCCCAATCGTCTCTCTACGTGGCACCCCAACCTTTGGACTGTCAAAGTGGCTGTACCAGCGACTGTGTTTCCTCATCAAAGACTCAGAGTGGACGGTGAAGTCAGCTGAAGAGTTCTTAACTCGCATACGTCATCGTAGAGTAGAGCCAGACGAGATGATGGTGTCCTTTGACGTGGTTTCACTGTTCACTTCTATCCCGCCCGACCTGGCCATCGACACTCTCGACGGACTTCTCCGAGAAAAATATGACGAGACCGACCAACAGCTTAAACGAGTGCACATCATCGAGCTCCTAGAACTGTGTCTCAAGACTTTCTTCACGTTTAACGGCCAAGTGTACGAGCAAAAAAAGGAACGCCAATGGGTTCACCTCTGTCTGGACTAATTGCCGAAGCGGTCTTGCAGAGGCTGGAGCGGCTGGTATTCAACTCGTACCCTCCGAAGTTCTGGGCCAGATATGTCGACGACACATTCGTCATAATAAAGAGGAGCGACGTGCAGGCTTTCAAGGCACTTTTAAATTCCATATTTCCCGACATACAGTTCACTATGGAAGAAGAGGTCGACAATCGATTGCCCTTCCTAGACGTACAGGTCACAAAACTGTCTGACGGGAATATAAAGACAACGGTCTACGGTAAGGCTACTAACACTAGGCGCATCCTCCACTTCAGAAGCAACCACCCCGTCGGTGACAAACGCAGTTGTGTCAGGACCCTTTTCCAACGCGCCCAAACACACTGCAGTGACGACGATGACAGGAAGAAGGAGGTGAAGTACTTGCGTGCCCTATTTGAAGCCAACGGTTACCCGAGGTCGTTCATACGCAGGTGTCTCAGGAAGTCCCACTCTGGGCGGTCGAACGAGGAGAAACCAAAGTTTTGGCTCTCGATCCCCTATGTGAAGAATGTTTCAGAGGCAACTTCAAGAATTCTGAAACCATTTGGAATCGGTGTGGCCCATAAACCAGCATCAACAATCAGACAGCAGATAATGAGGCCCAAAGACCCGCTGCCGGTGACAGAACAATCAGCAGTGGTTTACAGCATACCATGCCAAGATTGTGATGCAAGGTATGTTGGTGAGACAGGGAAACGCCTCGGTACAAGATTGCATGAGCATCAGCTTGCAATTAACCGCAAGGATAAGCTGTCGTTGGTGTATGGCCACACACTGGAACGGACCCACAATTTCGCTTTCGAGAAAACGCGGGTGATCGGTCGAGCCAATGACAAAATGGCCAGACTGATGCTGGAAAGTTGGTCCTCAACTGGCACCCTCAGCCGGGCCATAGACCTACATCCCGCCTATCAAGCGGTTCGCGCGAGGCTCGAATCAGTCCGGGCAAGGCCAATGGCACGGATGAAAGGAATCACACGGGGCCGACTATTGACGCTGTCGGAGAGGGAAGGCGCTGACCGAAAGTCACGTGAACGGAGTGGCACGCTATCTCACGGACGTACTCGCGAGGCCGGAAAAACCACGCCTGAGGAGCTACGATCGATCAGCCGGCCGTCTGACGAGGGGGAGGCCAACGAGCACGCCGACGCGGCGGCAACCACGTCAGGCGTGAGGGAGACACAAGGCACGCCAGTCCGCCAATGGCTGAGTTCAGCGAGGCCACAATCAGCCAATGGAAAGCAGGCTAACCAACGTGCGTGCGCTGGGCACGGTTATAACACGAGGAAGGCGGCAAGGCTGAACAAACCAAGGCCCGCAGGAAACGCCAGCGACCGACTCTGATGATGGAAACGAGAGTGTTTCCGAAACGTCAGTCTGAATACAACCTGGTCCATGAAATCGATTTCTCTTCTTCATCTTCCTCGGGGGATGATAAACACGATATATATATATATATATATATATATATAAAAGGACCACAGGAATCATGGATTTATTTGCCTGACGTTTCAAAAGCAAACAACCTCCATCATCGGAGGTGGGTTGCGTACTGCACGTGGCAGTATTTAAGGGTTTTCTTTCGTGCTGGCGTGTCACTGACTTCCAGCGCGCTGCTTAACAATGCAAATTCTTTGGGATCGAGGACAAAAGCGAGGTTACATCGAACGACACTATAATCTCGTCTGTGTTAATTTGCAGTCCATTCAGTCTTTCCAGGAAATGGTCGGATGAGCGGACCGACGTATCGGAGCCCGAGGTGAGGCAGTTCCGGCGTCGGAACATCCATTTGGCCAGGTTGGATGCGAGTGTCCCGAGCAAATACACGATTGGACGGAGTGAGGCTCCATCTTTGTGTATTTTGGCAGTCCATAGAACATTGCCATGGCAGCATCGGTCGGTTTGGTGGCCAGTCGTTCTGTCCTAGTCATCGCGCTATTATTTTGTAGCATGGTGAGCGTCGTGTTTATTTGCGTCACTAGCTTCTTCATGGGGTCTCCATCACACTTGACGTACGCTTGCCTATCTTTATACAAGGCATTTGCTTTCTGGAGGTACTCGGCCTTGTCAGGTATAACTGCCGATCGCCCTTTGTCTGCCAGTAGGATAACGATACTCTTGTCCGCCTTCAGCGCCCTGAGGACATCATGCTGCGTCCCCGGGATGACCAATCGCGGTTTGTGCGGCATAACCAGGGAGGTTCCATGTTTCTGAATGAGGTGCTGTGTCTTAGCTGGGTCTTGGGAGTGTTTTAGAACCGACACGATCGTTGCACGAATGTTTAACGGATCGGCCTCCGAGATGCTGAATCCGGCAGCATGCTTCAGCATTTGAATCTGCTCTGGCTTAAATTCCTTGGAGGATAGATTGTGGACCAGTACATCTTTGTCATCTTGTGCAACTGACCTTAATTTCTGAAACATGTCCATCAACTCCTAATCACGTCGGTATCTCAGATTCAAGTGTGAAACCATGCCGCTGTATTCACCTTCTCGGACGCCGATCCGGAGCCGCAGAGTGGGTCCTCTTGAAGACTTTCCCCGGTCCGGCTGTGAGCTGTTGCACCCCTCATTTTGGACAACCAGACGTTTACTGCTCCGTAAAATTGCATACATGCTCGCCTAAGTAGCTGCAATTTAGATACGGCCGTCATGACCGACTTCGCACAGTGCGAGGCGAATGCTGTTTCAGTACAGTCGGCAGAGGCCTAGTTCCAGTCGATATGCGGTTATTTAAAGTCTCCCAACGATGAGAGTATTCGGCCAAGTAGAAAATAATTTGAGCTCATTCGGCAGTTGGGCATCAGTGACAGGGTCATTTCTCGGGCGATAATATCCAGTCAAGAGGTCGAGGCTCCTAGTGTTTTCCAAATAGCAAGACAATTTTGACACATTTAAAGGGAACGATTGCCTTTAGGCGTTATTACTGCACCTTAGGTGAGGAAATCACCTGGATTTACTAATACGATTTTCAAAGTCGTCTGACTGTCCAAAAATATTCTATAGATTCTCAAAATGTAGATTAAATATAGGTTATTGTCCAAATACATAGTGCAGTTTCCTGATGACACCAAGTCCGATGACTGGAAAGGTGCCGGTTCCGTAAGGTAGGTTTTTCGACCAGGATACTTTGCTCATTCAAAGGGCCCACATTGGAAAACTTTACACAACCAATAGAAGGAACCAATCACTCGCTGACTCCGCACCTATGAAAACACCTACAATAAAGCATTTAAGGCTTAATCATCGTTAAAGAGGATGAAGACAGGTCACTTTCGGGAGAAAAAAGGTGGACGGCAGAAGGTGGAGGCCCATCGGCCGGTGGGAAATAACGTCAGGCTAAGGTTTTTGTACGTGTCTTTGCGTTTACCTCGCACAAGATCGAGCCTTATGTGCCAGTTTTCCGATAACCAACTTGTCTAGCTTTATCTTCCCCAGCGATTCGCCTCCCCGCCCCTGCAGTGCGAAGTCAAACATGCCAAGTTGATAGAGACGATCACTGATGCTCCCAGGCAACATCTTTGCCTATCAATATTCAGACGGATTGAAAAGAATTTCTTACCCTGGCCTTGAGCTTAAGCTTTTAGATAGTGAATATTGAATATGCGACACTACCTAGTATGTCATTCAGGTAGGCTTACTTTGACCCTCTACCCCTCAATCATTTCCCATCACGATTCTTTTGAGTGTTAACATTAAGATCGTAGTCCGACTTAGGTATAGGCTAAGCAGTAGTTTTAGGGTTCTGCTTTAAACATAGGTTTAGTGCTAGGGAGTTGGGCGTCGACTGTTATCGATATCAAAATGCATTAAATACTCAACGCGGCCACTGAAAGGGTCGGACTTTATAATATATTCTCCAAACATTCCACATCATTGTGACTGCTCATCATGGGCTAGGATCAGTTCGCCTAAAATATCGAACAATGTCCCTGGCTTTCATTATTTTAAATTTAGTTACAGCTCCTAATTTCCAGCAGCTTGCACTTTTTAAGCTTCATTGGTTCATTTCGGCTAATTGCAGGTTTTTACTCCAACTTACTGGAAACAGCTACCTGTCCTATTTTTAATATCCACCCATGAAAACCGCATTACTACCATGTTAGTACGGCTTGGAGCCATATGTTGAGTCGGCACCTGTTTGATTTCTTGAAAAGTCATGGATTGGCTGAAATTATCGTAAGTCGGCTGCAACCGAGCGGTATTTCTGGAGTAACCCTTATATATACCGGCTGCAGTAAAGCGATAATTTCGCAGCTAAAGGGGTACATCTATCAGTTTTTATCAGCAACTACACTCAATATCAAACAAATCCCATTCCGTCACCGGAAACATGAGAAAAAGTAACACTTTTCAAACAAAGCTGTTACGGAAAGCACTGTCGTTCACAGTGACATAATATATTAAAATATACAAAAAGACGTCAGATACAGTCTTTTTGGTGAAAGGAAATAGTCGAGAGGGGCAAACAGAACCAATTCCTTTTTAACAGCCTTCGGCACTTTAATTTACATGTGAGGACGCGACTGAAAGTAAAGATCCAACTTCGCCATGACCAAGCCTAACCAGGCATCGTCTACTGGGAACTGCTGAGTTAAGTACATTGCCAGCGCAATTTCCTGGAATACATCAACACCTATGACGTGAAAAGTGTCAAAGGCATGATGTGTGTAGTAAGGCCATGCCACCCCGTGATTGGAGACAGACCACTTTTCGAAAGCTTTTAGAGCCAAATGACGGATGAGAATTGGAGGAATTATTGCAAGACCCAAGTCACTCGTCGAATCTGTGCGTCAGTGAGTGCTCCCAATTCGGCCTTCATACGGCTTGCATTGAAGGCGTAGTCATCATCAAGGAGAATGAAGACAGGAGGTCTTTTCAGAGAGGTGAAACGCGAGCGACAGAATGTAGAGGCCCATTGGAAGGTGTGAAATAATTTGAGGCTGAGGTTATAGTAGGTGTCCTCGTAGTCACCCACAACGAGGTCACCGTTGAGTCGGACTTCTTCTGTCAGATTTCTCAGAACTTCTGACCTCTTTGTTTGCATCTCCTCCATGGATTGACCTGCCCGGTCTGGCAGTGAGACGTTAAAACCGTCACGTTGGAAGAACCGACCTCCGCTGCTTCGAGGCAACCCCACGGAGAAGACCATAGCCATGCAGAATTCAGGCTCACGCAGGGTTTCCTTAACAAAAGCCCTCCGTAAGCGATCACGATCTGCAAAATTGTAGACAGCGGACTTGACTATCACAATAGCATCCAGATTTTTCTTGACTGATTTTCCTGGCAGGCAGACAGTCGAACTGACCTTCAGGAATCGGATTGTTCGATTGAATATGGGAGCCTGCGCATGCAAAAGAAGACGATTCAACTAAGTGACTGGGAATTCAAGCGAACGTTTCGCTTTATAACAAGCAGTCGCTATACCTGTTTGTCAGTTCTTAATCTAATTCTCCGTGACGTAGTTGAAATAAACGCTTTTTCTTGATTTTCTGTGCATTTATTGCCAACGGCTCGTTGCGGTCTGTGTGAATTTCAAGACGACGGAAATGTGTAAGCCAGGAATGTTGCTTCCTATGTTGTACTCTATTAGCCTCATCATAGACTTGCTCGTCGATTTACTACTTATGTCGGAGAGTAACAATTAGTCGCCCGACCAGATGGCACTGACATCGTAAGCAGGTGGAGGAGGAGGAGGAGTAGGGCGAGGAGGACGAGGGGGAGGAAGAGGAGGAGGAGGAGGAGGAGAAGGAATAAGTAAGAAATAGACGATAGCACAGACTGAGAAGCAGTTTTATGAGTACATTGTCAGGTGGATGCGAGGCGAGCTATTGGCTCACATTGCCAAAGGCATCCGAGAGCGTCAGATGATAACGTGACTGGGCTTCGGCGTACGAGCGCTGACCTGGTCACGATGGTAACATGACATACAGCAGGTGGGCTGGCTCATGAAAGGTCAGCAGAAATTCTGAAATGTGTTTTTGTTTCGAAAAGATTAAGTAATTAGGATTGTAAAACTAGTAAGTCTGCGAGAAAATTCTATATTATATCATTTACCCCAAGCTCCCGGCCTACGAATGAACTTCTTTCGGGCTGCATACAAAACCAGCACTCTGCAAAAATGACTACATGAGTGGCATGAATTTTTCTCATTGATTTTTGATGCTCTGAATGTCCAATGATATTTCATGGAAAACATTCAGAACAATATTCATTCTTTTGCTCATTCGGTAGATAATTGCGTCGTTTTCCTCTAATTTTATTCTCGCAGGAAAGACATATTTCTGTTTTAAAGGGGTTTCTTATAATAGGATTTTTAAACACCATGAAATAGCCGTTCATCAA